GACGATCGGCGACGATCGCCGAGCATCGACGACGAGGACGTCGTCGACGACGCCGATCGACGACCTGCGACGATCGATTGCGACGACTGCGACGACAACGACGCTGTCGATCGACGTCGGTCTACGACGATCGACGGCCTCCCGCGGAGGAGTCAACCTCTCCGCGGCCGACCGCCTCGCCGTGGTACCGGGCGGCTCTTGCGACGCCGGCGGGACCAGCGGCGCGGCGAAGGAGGCACCCCAGAGCGCTACCGGAGGCGCAGCGCCGAGGTCGTCGACGGTGTCGTCGATCGTCACCGTCGTTGTCGTCGTCGAGACGGAGAAGCCGCAGAAGCCTGGAGGCACCCTAGGAGGTTCAGGTATCGTCGACAGTGATTGCTGTTGATGGTTGAAGGAAGGCGGTCCCGAACGGCTCCTCATTCGCTAACCCTGGCCAAGAGGATGCCCGATGGGCTCACGTTTCTCCACCCTCCTGCTACAGTCAACCCGCACAGGGATGGGCAACCTTCCAGGGTACCCTTGCATCCTTGCCTCCTCGGTCCATCCTTGGCCACTCGTGGGCCGCGCCCCGCTCGAAAAGCTTCAAATGGGCGTCCAAGGCCGTTGCATCCTTATCGCGCATTCTTGCGATACGGGTTGAATGCGCTGCTCCCAAGTCAACGAACACCTGAACCGTCATTACCAGCGTGGAATCGTCGATCGTCGTCATCGTGGTCGTCGTCGTCGTAGCCGTCGCCGCCGCCGTCGTCGTCGTCAATGTCGTTGTCGTCGTCGGCGGCTGCAGCAGGCGCATCGAATCAGAAATTTGCCTGCCAGCAGGTGCCCTTCGGAATTTGTGTTATCCCCCGAAGGCCCTGTGGACCCGCAGAAGCCTCCGGGCACCCCAGGAGGCTCAGGTCTCGTAAACAATGTGTTAGCTGTTGACGATTGAAGGAAGGTGGCCCTGAACGGCTCCACCTTTGCTCCCGCGGGCGAAGAGGGTGCACGATAGGCTTACGTTTCTTCACTCGCCTTCTACTGCTCCCCTGTCAATTGATACCCGAACCGCCATTGTCGGCGTCGAAATCTTCGGCGACGTCGTTTTCGTCGTCGTCGTCGGCGGCGGCGGCGTCATCGCCGTCGTCGCCGTCGTCGCTGCCGTCGTCGGCGGCGGCGGCGTTGGCTTCTTTGACGTCAGCAGCGTCAGCACCTACGTCGGCGACATCGTCGTCGGCGTCGGCGTCGTCGTCGTACGTGGGATAAGGGGTAAGGGGGAAGAGGGAGGGTGAACATGAGGGATGGGGAGGGGGAGGGCGGAGGAGGAGGTGGAGGAAAAGCGGCGGCGGCGGCGCTCAGCAAACGTCCGATCAGGGTCGAACCAGGGAGGAAATGGAAAGTACAGACAACCCACGAACACTCGAGAACAAACCCCCAGACTTCTACCGAACAACCCACGACTTTTACCGCAAAACCCCCTTGGCTTCTTACGAACACCCCCCCCGACTTCTACCGACCAAACCCCCCGACTTCTACCGAAAGAGGTTCCTGCAGGGCCTCCTGGGGCGGCTTGGGGAGACTTCCTTGGGCCGCCTGGAGAGGCCTTCTTGGGCCGCCTGGAGAGACCTCCTTGGGCCGCCTGGAGGCGACACTAAATCGGCACAAAAAACGTACGGCAACATCGCGGAAGGAGGGCGATGGAGCGGGGACCACTATCACGCCACGAGCGCCGACCGCACAGCGATGAGCGCAGGCAGCAAAGGGGTAGGCCCCCCAGGGGGGGGGGATCCTAACACACCAGGTGACCGAGCGGTACCTCCCCCGGTTCCCGAGCAATCGTCCGCCACACCCGGAGGGGAGGGCCCCTCCGGTGACGTTGCCGCTCCCGCGCGGAGGCGGAACGCAGCGTGACACCCGGAGGGGGGGCCTTGCCTCTGCCTCGGGCGGGTGGCATGGGGGGGTTACTTCAAAAGGGGGTTGAAGAAAAGAGCCCTCAAGGGGCTATGTTCTCTTAACCAAGAAATCTGGCCCGCCCCCATTGCCACCCGCCCGCCTGTCACGTTTTTTCTCGGGCGTGTTACGGGCCCAGGAGGAGGAGGAGGAGGAGGAGGAGGAGGAGGAGGGGGGGGAGGAGGAGGAGGAGGAGCAGGAGGAGGAGGAGGGGAGGAGGAGGAGAGGGGAGGAGGGGAGGAGGAGGAGGAGGAGGAGGAGGAGGAGGAGGAGGAGGAGGAGGGGGAGGAGGAGGAGGAGGAGGAGGAAGAGGAGCGGGAGGAGACGGGCGAGAGGGGAGGTTGGGCGAGACGGCGCGACAAGCGGGAGGGGCCTCTGGCGACGGTGGTGCGGCAGGCCGCGGCCAGCTCGAGGGCGGGCCGCCCCCCCTCGGCCCCGACCAGCAGAAGGGGCCACAGCACAGGCCCGACGAGGAGCCAACACCGCCGCCGCCCTCGAGGGGGGCATCAAAGCTTGGGGCAAAAACCGGAAGCCTCACAAACTATGCTTTTTTTGTTTTTTTGTTTTTGTTTTGTTTTTTGTGTTTGAGAAACGTGTCATGATGCCCGAGACCGTTCCCCTGCTTCCGTTTGCCCCGCGGTCAATACTCCACCAAGTGCGCCTTGGGAATAGACCTCCGAATGGCACCCTCGGCTGTTGTCTTGACCTGGACCGTGCACGCTGACCCAAGAAGCCGAATTCTCTGGTTAGCGACCACCACCAGCTTCAGCGCCAGGTTCATGTCTTGCTTGACCTCCGTGATCTCAGCTCGGTGCGTCACACCACGCGTACGTGCAGAGCTCTATATCACATGAGGCGTTGCAGAGAGGGCTTTGCCTTCGAGGATCGAAGGAACTGTCATTTCTTCCCCGGCAGAAGGCGGCAGAAGGTCGGCGGAATCAAATCGAGGCCACCTCCGCCGGCGGAAGCCCGCGGAAGGGAGGCGGAGGGTGGCGGACGTAAACATTGCGCCCCCAAGAAATGCCAACATTTTTGGGTCCAGGGTTTCCTGAATCCGCCACATATGTCACACCTGTAGGGAGGGCGACCACACGCTGATGAACCGTAAGCGAACCGTTGGCATTGAGCACCTCCCCGTGGAAATGTATTGAGTGTTCCACTGCATACAGCTTCGCAGTGTTGCAGTTGTCGCACACAATGCATGTTAACCAGCGTGGACCCAAGCAGTGATTTACAACACTATACGCGGTGCAATCTACGTGGCGCAATTTAGGTGCTGCAATCTGTGCGGCGCAGAGCAAAGCAATGCACAGACAAGCAAAGCATTGCAACGAACCGCACATCAATGCAAAGCAATCCAAACCAATGCAATACGGCTACAAGAAAATGCGCGTCAATGCCAAGCAACGCACAGCAATGCAACGCAATGCAATGCAAGGTAAAGCAACAACATGCAACGCAATGCAAAGCAATGTAATGTCATGCAACGCCAAGACAAATTAACGCTTAGCACTGCAAAGTAATGTGAAGCTGCCCAACGTCACGCAACACAATTCGAACTAGCTCGCAACAGTTCAAAGACATGCAATGCAATGCTACGCCACGCAACATACTGCAATGCGATTCAAAGCAACGCAAAACAATACAACGCGATGCAAAGCAATGCAAAGCAACGTGATGCAACACGAAGCAGTGCGAATCATGTCACTGCAAACCAGTGCAAAGCATTGCAATGCAATGCGCGGCAACGCAACTCAGCGCGAAGCAGCGCAAGCCAATGCGAAGCTGTGCGATGCAATGCAGTGTAGTGCAGTGCGGGGCGAGGCGGAACAGTGCAGAGCGGTGCGCAGAAGCGCGGAGCAGTTCCATCCAAGGCGAAGTAACGCCAAGCAGCACATGGCAGCACAAGGCAGTGCCTTCTGCGAGCCTCGCGCAGGCGAAGTCGTGGTCAAACTGGTGCGGCGACGGACGGCCGCCGCGGGCGGCCACGGGCGCCCACGGGCGCTCACGGGAGGAGCACGGACCCCCAAGGGGCCAGCACTGCGTGTGGGGAAGCTGTGAGAGACTGGCGGGGCTTGTGGCAGTTGTACTCACTCGGGCCTGTCCCTCTACAGGAGAAATGGTTTAAGATATCGTCAACAAACATGCCTAGGGGACGATTGTTTTATTCTTTTTGCATATTTTTGAGTATTCCCCTAGATTTTTACCTAACAGCGAAGACTGATAGGCTTCGAGTAGGGTCAAAAGATAACATCATGACGCCCCAGGGGGGTCTGGGCGCGATCCGGGGGAGGGTGCCGGGGATTTTTTTTAACCCAACAGTTACACACTTCGTGGTCTTCGAGGTCCCGGAACTCCATTCCCGGGCCACATTCTGAATGCCCGGGGCCAACTGTAGGCCACTTCGTGGTCTTCGAGTTCCCAGAACTCCATTCCCGGGCCACATTTTGAATGCCCGGAGCCAACTGTAGGCCACTTCGTGGTCTTCGAGTTCCCAGAACTCCATTCCCGGGCCACATTTTGAATGCCCGGAGCCAACTGTAGGCCACTTCGTGGTCTTCGAGTTCCCAGAACTGCCCGGAGCCAACTGTAGGCCACTTCGTGGTCTTCGAGTTCCCAGAACTCCATCCCCGGGCCACATTTTGAATGCTGAGGCAGGCCGATGCTGAGGCTGAGGCAGGCTGAGGCTGAGGCAGGCTGAGGCTGAGGCCGAGGCTGAAGGCAGACTGAGGCTGAGGCTGAAGCAGGCTGAGGCTGGGGCTGAGGCAGGCTGAGGCTGAGGCTGAGGCAGGCTGAGGCTGAGGCAGGCTGAGGCTGAGGCTGATGAAGGCTGAGGCTGAGGCAGGCTGAGGCTGAGGCCGAGGCTGAAGGCCGACTGAGGCTGAGGCTGAAGCAGGCTGAGGCTGAGGCTGAGGCAGGCTGAGGCTGAGGCTGAGGCAGGCTGATGCTGAGGCAGGCTGAGGCTGAGGCTGAGGCTGATGCAGGCTGAGGCTGAGGCAGGCTGAGGCTGAGGCCGAGGCCGACGGCAGACTGAGGCAGAGGCTGAAGCAGGCTGAGGCTGAGGCAGAGGCAGGCTGAGGCTGAGGCTGAGGCAGGCTGATGCTGAGGCAGGCTGAGGCTGAGGCTGAGGATGATGCAGGCTGAGGCTGAGGCAGGCTGAGGCTGAGGCCGAGGCTGAAGGCAGACTGAGGCTGAGGCTGAAGCAGACTGAGGCTGAGGCTGAGGCAGGCTGAGGCTGAGGCTGAGGCAGGCTGATGCTGAGGCAGTCTGAGGCTGAGGCTGAGGCTGATGCAGGCTGAGGCTGAGGCAGGCTGAGGCTGAGGCCGAGGCTGAA